ATAAAGAGACTGTTATTAATATTTTCTACATGCATGTATTAGTAACGCTGTAGCTTTACTAAGTAGGATTCACCCCCAAAGAAAATGGTTGCAACAACTTTTGCAGTCTTGCTATATACCAGGAAAAGGAGCTCCTATGCTTACCAGACTTCTTAGAGGACTTTATATTAACAAGAGGTCCAACACACCCAGGAATCCAGTACTCTCTCTTTGGAATCCAAATAGAATGCAGTGGAATGCAAAATTTTAATCATTTCAGCCAGTATAGACTGAGGTATACAAATTAAGCACTTTTGTAGTACCCTGTTTGGAATCTCACAACTGAATTCAGGATTCCAGAACAAAATTCGGGTCTGTGTCAGACCCCTTGAGTACCAATAATTGTCATTATTAATTACAAATTATTTTGCAATTTTCTCCAAATAGCAATTGATATGTAATTATTATTATTATTATTGTTGTTGCTGTAATAGTGGTAAATTTAACTCACATTAACACTATCTGCTGATGGATTTCTGAATAAATCATTGCAGTATAAGTTTGCAGTTGCTATGCGAAGAGGAATCTACATAGTAGAGTTACATAGCTTGATAAATAAAACTGACTGGGTAAAATGTAACATGTAATTATTTAAGACTAATGCTGCATGGTGACTAAGTTCCAATTAATCAGCATGGCATGCCACTGAGTCCACTACTTTATGTTTTATTGCAAAAATGTTATTGTTATAATGGACGTCATACAGGATGAACGTCATAATGAACAATCATGAATATTGTTATCGTTAGCGGGTCATGCCTGACTCTGGGCGTCGATCGTGACTGATTCATCAGTATCGGAACAGGACATTGCCCCAAATCCTCGGTCCAGTATAGTCTATCAGCTATGATTCGAGCCTGAATCAGGACTGGTCCATGTTTCAACTCTTGGGCGTGTAGCAGGGATAAGCTCCCCTCTCTTGATCACTTTGACTTCCCTATCACTCAGAAGGCCTTATCACGCTTGATTGATCAGTCTGTCTTCAATAGTCTGCTGTCTCTGTCTCAGGACGATCGGTCTCGTGCTCTCTTCCTCTCGACAAGCATCTCTCATGCTGGGGACTGGTTGAGTGTTATTCCATCCACTACCCTCGGTCTCCATCTGTTAGATGCTGAGTTCAGGGTTTGTCTTCGCTACTGGTTGGGGGTTCCTCTAGCCAGTGAGTCCTCTGTCTGTACAGTCTGCACTCGCCCTGCTCACCCCTTGGGGGATCATGCTATGGCTTGTGGTGGCAATGGTGATCGAATCCTTCGGCACAATGCTCTGAGGGACGTTTTATTCTCAGCTGCACAGTCTGCTGCCCTTTCCCCTCGCAGGGAAATACAGTCCCTTATCCCGGATTCCACTAGTCGCCCAGCCGACATTTTCCTCCCCTCGTGGTCTCAGGGCCGTCCTACTGCTATGGACGTTACTGTCATTTCTCCCCTCCAACAGCAGACTATTGCTAATGCTGCTTCTTGTCAGGGTTCCTCTTTATTGGTGGCCGAACACCGTAAACGGGTCGTCCATTTTGATAATTGCCATCGCGTTGGAGTCGAATTTGTTCCACTGGCCGTTGAGTCTCTTGGGGGCTGGAGTTCTTTATTAAGGACACCATTGGGCCCACACTACCTGTCCTTAATACATGTACAGTGTAGCCTCTTTATTAAGGACACCATTGGGCCCACACTACCTGTCCTTAATACATGTACAGTGTAGCCTCTTTATTAAGGACACCATTGGGCCCACACTACCTCTCCTTAATACATGTACAGTGTAGCCTCTTTATTAAGGACACCATTGGGCCCACACTACCTGTCCTTAATACATGTACAGTGTAGCCTCTTTATTAAGGACACCATTGGGCCCACACTACCTGTCCTTAATACATGTACAGTGTAGCCTCTTTATTAAGGACACCATTGGCCCCACACTACCTGTCCTTAATACATGTACAGTGTAGCCTCTTTATTAAGGACACCATTGGGCCCACACTACCTGTCCTTAATACATGTACAGTGTAGCCTCTTTATTAAGGACACCATTGGGCCCACACTACCTGTCCTTAATACATGTACAGTGTAGCCTCTTTATTAAGGACACCATTGGGACCACACTACCTGTCCTTAATACATGTACAGTGTAGCCTCTTTATTAAGGACACCATTGGGCCCACACTACCTGTCCTTAATACATGTACAGTGTAGCCTCTTTATTAAGGACACCATTGGGCCCACACTACCTGTCCTTAATACATGTACAGTGTAGCCTCTTTATTAAGGACACCATTGGGCCCACACTACCTGTCCTTAATACATGTACAGTGTAGCCTCTTTATTAAGGACACCATTGGCCCCACACTACCTGTCCTTAATACATGTACAGTGTAGCCTCTTTATTAAGGACACCATTGGGCCCACACTACCTGTCCTTAATACATGTACAGTGTAGCCTCTTTATTAAGGACACCATTGGGCCCACACTACCTGTCCTTAATACATGTACAGTGTAGCCTCTTTATTAAGGACACCATTGGGCCCACACTACCTCTCCTTAATACATGTACAGTGTAGCCTCTTTATTAAGGACACCATTGGACCCACACTACCTGTCCTTAATACATGTACAGTGTAGCCTCTTTATTAAGGACACCATTGGACCCACACTACCTGTCCTTAATACATGTACAGTGTAGCCTCTTTATTAAGGACACCATTGGGCCCACACTACCTGTCCTTAATACAGAGGTGTCCTCATTTCAGAGGTACTTTTGTATAGGTCTGTACCAATTGGGACATTACAAAATGTCCTCATTATAAAGGTGTCCTCATTATAAAGGAGGTTCTTATCTCAGTGTGTGTCAGTTTATGATTAAATGAAATTGAGTGAGTGTACACACAGTGTTATCATTATATAATGAGGAGTACCATCATGTAATCCAATTAAATATTAATAATACAATTAGTTAAGATAATTGCATGCTCATAAATGACATCATTATCATTGTGTCTCATGTGCTTGTGTGTGTGAGTGAATGTCAAAATCTTTGTCTTTTCTTCTCCTTCTCAACAACATCTTGATATCTTTTGAGCATCTTATTATGACCAGCTCCTCCTCTTCCTCTCTGATTGGCTGATTCAAGTGACTGAAGGCTTCCTGAGAAACCCAGTCCGGCTTTATTGGACCTTATAAATGTTGATATCTACAGAAATACATAAATCATGAGTGAATCATGATCACTGTTATATCTATGGAAATAAACGTTTGGAAGACCAGTCTAACTATCTATAAAGCAGTATAAATGCATGTAAAGGTGTTATCAGAAATAATTACAATCAAACTTTGAACCAATCACTGATGTCACACCACCACACAGGCCACTTGAACTATACAAGTACATGTACGCCCACACACCAAATGTACATGTACACATTAAATGAGTCAATTAATTATAGCTGCTACAGTGGATTATAGAAGTAGGCGTACTCTTTGGCTGTGCATACCAAAAATAACTATAAAGGCTTGGCCAAAGGGGCAGGTGTAATGTGTCAGTTATTGAACAGCTGCTGGGTATAAGGGAACATGTAACCCATAGCCCAAGTAGCAGAGGGAGAGAGAGAAGGAGAATCTGTTTATACAATCAATTAAGCAATTACTGTTTAAAGAGACCATAATGTAATAAACAATAATACCTACCATCCTTAGGATCACGAACCAGTACATGATGAAGAACACACTATAGTCTATCAGGAGGTGTCATGGTTGTAAACCAGATAAAAGGACCCACAAAAACCTAATCTAATAAAGCCGTAAGGAACACGCTAATTATCTAATGAGGGATGTATCATGCATAATAGCTGTAATTACAATTCAAACGCTCATCCCATAGCCTGTTCAAAGACCAGCTGCTGAAATAATGAACTCAAAAGATGCAAAACCATATCAGTCCTATTAGTCACATTAGCGTAACCATGACAACACGGACCATGTGAAAGAGTGTGCCCTCCTCCACTGTAATAAGATAAAGACCGTTAGCTTCTTCTCATGGTCCAGCAGTTCTAGTACGCTAGACCTAATCACACCCACACAAACCACCTCAAGGTATATACACAAAGCAGCGGCAGCAGTAAACATGTACAGTACATGTTTACTGCTGGAGGCATCACATCTCCCCCTCCCTCCCACACACACACACACGTACACGTACACGTACATGTATTGGGGTATGTGTATGTGCATTGAATTGTTTAATTGAAGAGAATAGTAAGAGAAAAGAGCAATTACATGTAGAATGTATTAGTACATGTATGTACAGGAGCAAGGCTATTGGTACTATATACATGTATGTACATGTACCAGTAAAAGGGAGGGAGAGAGAGAGAGAGAGAGAGAGAGAGGGAGAGAGAGAGGGAGAGAGAGAGAGGGAGAGAGAGAGGGTAGAGAGGATGGTGGGAAAGAGTCTTTTTTTATACACGTAATTATTATTCATCAGCTGCAAGGTCGGTCGCCATGGCGATACAAATGACAGCAGCATTTCTATAGTTTTGCTCATAATCCAATTAAGTTATTATTGAATTAGCAAGCTCTTTATTATAGATTTCATTTAATTTGTACCACTCAATGGTACCATTACTATGAGCCTCTTCCTTCTCCCTTCCTCTCTCCCTCTCTCTGTCTC